TGTTCCTTGTTCTGAGATGCTATATCACCACTCTGCACATCCTGCTTCCTCAGAGCGCTTCCCTCCTTAGTGGAGGTTCTCTCCTGGGCTACATGGCCTTTAGGATTGGCTCATGATAAAGTCACCCCAGTTTGATTTATAGATTGATTATGGATTATTTGTATTGACAATACTTATGGCTGGAGTTTTTATACTGATCCTGTTGGTGCGCTGCCTGCCCATCCCTCCGTCTTTCCTCGCTGACTTCCACCTCTCATCTTTGTCGTGTACAATTTTACTGTCTCATTGTCAAGGGTATTAACATTTCCATTCAGTTCTGGAACCACAGTCAAGTCTGCGTGTTTTATGCAAATGCTGACTGAAACCTGTAAATGAATAAAGAGCCATGTAAATATTTTTATTTTTTATGACCATGTAGATATTACTTACTCTAGGAACGAGCGTTATTATGTTTATTTACATTTATAAGATTACATTTATTTCTCTAAAGGTCCAATGTCATGACGGAAAGGAATTCTCTTTTCTTTATCTCATCAACTGCCTAAAACCATGCCACGCTTTAGTTTTCTTCATATTATGGAAACAAAATAATATGAGTCTCTTTTTTAGTCGAGGAAAATATGAAATCTCGAATGTGAATCTCCCTTTCCGGGATCAGCTTTTGTAGGATCCCAAAAAGGAAACCCCAACTCCAGTCTCGGGAAGGCGCGGACCCACAGACACAGAAGACCGAGCTTGATGCAAACGCAAGAGGTTTATTAAGCGGAGCTCCGGGTCGACACGTATCTCTCGCAGGAGACAGAGGAGTCGACCCCGGACCTTAAAGGGCAAATTCTTATATAGGGTTTGGGAGCACAAAGCGGGAAAAGGTTGGCGCAGTCTTACATGATTGGCTAATTTAAAACATTTAAACAGTTACATTTTATGGCGCGAATTGCTATGGCGCAAAGCGATTATCAGGTTACACACACGCGTTCCCATCTGGACCCCCTCCACCCCGACCCTCCCAAACTTATCCCTCTGGAGCACTCTCTTGTTCTCAATTCTTCCCCGAACAGTTTAGGGTGGGTCTTTCATGAATAGAGTCAGTCAGGATCGATAAACGTTCCCCCCTATACCAGGAATCCTTAGGGCGTGGAGGTGCCTGTCTCTAAGGTAGTAACTTTTTAATTTTTAATATAATTTTTACTTCCTTCACTTTAATCCAAGAGAAACTGTGACGTAGTTATCTTGAAGGTAACACCTTTGGCCAAGCTCTCTGTGATGAATCACTTCTCTTTGTTGATAAGAGGAGTATGTAGGATAATTATGACCCATAGAGCTACCTACTCAGATGAAAACACACACACTCACTTGAAATTAAAACTTGTTCTGCTCCATAGTAAGTGGCAGATCTGGGTTTCTTTTCTTGCCACTCAATACAAAAAGCAAGGAGACTTGCTGGAGATAGTCTTATCACTCCTTCAGAACGGAAGGCTTTATGATTGTTAAAATCATAAAACATGATTAGATTGTTATGAGAAGTTATAAAACTCGACTGATTGAAGAGATTAAGTGTTGACTGAAGATTGAGCTTATTGTTGAGCATTTTAGTTGTAGCTGAATTTAAGATGAACTTACTGGGATTTAAAAAAATTATTTTCCCACCAGACTAAGTTGTTTTGTTCTCTAACATGACAAATGGCCAGAATCATTTTTGGTTTTTAAGTCTGCTGCCATGATTTGCATTACTATTTTTTAGGAAAAAAATTGATGTAATTTACATACAACAAAATTCATCATTTTAAAGTGTATAATTCAGTGATTTTTAGTACATTCATTACATTATGCAACCATCACCGCTATCTAATTCTCACTGAATGATCTTGTTTTCATATTTTGATTAAGTTAAATCTATGTTAATAGTTCATCTTCCCATCTAGAAACATGATGTTCAGTTATAGGCAATTTTTAATGTGTACTGAAGTCCTTTTCATAATCAAGAGAAGGTGATTTTTCTCCTAACTACTTTATTTAAAAAGTTATCAGATGAAGAAGACTCCTCCTTGGGGCCAGCCCCGTGGCCTAGCAGTTAAGTGCACGCCCTGCTGCTGGATCCTGGGCACACACCGACGCACCGCTTGTCAGGCCATGCTGTGGTGGCGTCTCACAAAAAATGGAGGGAGACGGGCACGGATGTTAGCTCAGGGCTGATCTTCCTCACACACACACACACACACACACACAAAACACCCCTCCAAAGGGTGTTTGGACAATATCTGAAAAGGGAGCAATAGAAGTTCTAGAACAGTCTGTCTTCATGAATTTTAGGCCCTCAGCTGGGCTGAGAGACCAATTTTCACTTTTTCCACTCTGAAAATAAGAGCTTTTTGTCCTTTTCATGGTCTCCCGTGGGAAAGAGGATTTCATGGACTTATTTCTGAGGGTTATTGATCTATCTCCCATCTGGGAATATTTGTGTCTCTGTGACAATGTTTTAAGAAAACAAATAGTATCTGTGTTACAGTATAGTTGTTTCTCTGTGTATCTTTGGTGTCCCCAGCTAGATTAAAAACTTCTTAGGGCAGGGAACATGTCAGACCCTCCTCCTCTCCACAGGAGCCCGCACAACACAGGACACAGAGCTGGCACTTAGCAAACATTAACGACTTGATGTGCTGCTGGGCAGCTGCTCTGGGCTGTTTTTGTCTTCTGGGAAAAGGAGACCTTTGAGTCCTGACTCTGCTACTTTCTAGTGGTCTGACAATGGAAAAGTCATTTAAGAATTTCAGAACCTTATTTTTTGAACTATTTGTTTTGAAAAGCGTTACACATCCTCAAAAGCAGAGGATAGTAAAATGAAACCCCTATGTCCCCACCATCCTCCTTCAATAAATTTCAACATAAGGCCATGCTTTTTTCATCCATACACCCGTCTACTACTTATGCACCCTTTTCCCACCCTACTATTGAGTTATTTCAAAACGAATCCCAGACATCATGTTGTTTCATCCGTAAATATTAAAGTATGTATATCTAAAGTATAAAGACTCTTTTTTCTTCCATAGAGATCAATTCATTGTCACACCTAATGATGTCCTCAGTAATTCCTTAATATCATCGAACTTCCAAACTAGCTTAGATTTCTCTGATTTTCTCTCATCTCTTTTTCGTCTCATTCTCTTTGTTCTTGTTTTTACAGTTGGCTTTTTTGAACGAGGATTCAAACAAGATCAACTAATTTATTTGGTTGATTTGTCTCTTTTCTTTTAGTCTATATGCTCTCCTTTCCTCTTTTTTTCCTTGCCATTTATTTATTAAAGAAGTTGGGTCATTTATCCTGTAGAAATTCCCACATTCTGGATTTTGCTTATTGCATCCACATGGTGTAGTTTAACATGTTTCTTCATCCCCTGTATAAACAGGTAGTTAGAGACGCTTGGTCAGTTTCAGGTTCAATTTCTTTTTACAAGACTATATCATAGGTGTATACTTCCAGCCTATTGCATTTCTTCAGGAGCCACATGATATCTGATTGTCTCTCTTTTAGTTGCATTAGGATTTTTCAATGGGTTTAGGTGTTATCAGTCTTATCCATCTCTTAGTAAAGTTCTCCATCAGACTTTCACCTAATAGTTTACCAGCCATTGGTGATCATTGCCTAGATCCGTTATTTCTTTTTTTTCTTTCATCAGGAAGATCAGCCCTGAGCTAACATCTGATGCCAATCCTCCTCTCTCTCTCTCTTTGTTTTTTTGCTAAGGAAGATTGACCCTGGGCTAACATCCATGCCCATCTTCCTCTACTTTATATGGGACGTGGCCACAGTATGGCTTGACCAGCGGAGCGTCGGTGCTCGCCCGGGATCCGAACCTGCGAACCCCAGGCCACCATAGCCGAGCGCTCGCACTTAACTGCTTGCACCACCGGGCTGGTCCCAAGATCCATTATTTCTTTAGGAGTTGCAAAATTGTGATAATTTAATTCCATCCTTCTTTCTGCATGTATTAGCTGAATTTAGAGAATACTTTTCTTTCATCAACTGTTTGGTTACCCTGAAATACAGACAATTTGTACAAGAAAGGCAAGATATTTACTAGTTTTCAAAATGAGTTGGTTTCTTACTATTCTCCAAAGATGGTCAATGAGATCTTCATTTTAGTAATCCTGTGAACAATCGATTTTGATGGCTTTGATGTGTTTCAATTCTTTGCAATCATTTTTCTTCTTCATATATATACATATACATAATGAATTCACATTGATATTTCCAATTCAAAATTAGGATTATAAGTTTTTTACATAACTTTGATTCTTATATCCTTTTTTCTCACACTGAAAATCTTTGTTCCTAATAATATTAACATAATTACTTATTTGCTTTATCCTACAATATGTACTAGTATCAAGACAATGATACCAATGTTTTTACTAACAATATGATTACTGAGAACAGATTAGAATTTCTATTTATCCCACTAGGTACATAGAGTTAAATTACTGTGTCAAAGTCATTTGAAAGAAATTTCACTAACTGCACACTCAGCTTTCTTTGCTTTCTTTTTCTTTTGATTTTTAGGGTTAAGAATCCTTTTTAGGGTTAGATACAAAAAAGGGGATAAAAACAAGTGCTCCATGAGTTTCTGGCAGAATTGAATGAAAATGAAATATGGGAAAGCACACTATAATACATGGTTACACTGTAAACCACAGGATCTATGGGAATGTAGAGTGCTGGCTATTGTAATTCTCTCTCTGTATCAAAGGCCATCTTCACTCCCAGTCAGAGGACGCTATTGGTCAAATTGTCAAGAGCTTGCTCAGGGTTGATTACTAGCCACCAGGGCCCAATTGTCTCATTTGACCATTTAACCTCTCCATGTTTCAAGTTCCTCATATGTAAAATGGTAATAAACTATAATACTTACTTCAAAGATTTTCTGTGAAGAAAATTAAAGGAGATTAAAGGAGAATATGCACTCAAATTATATTTCTTTTCTTCTTCCCTCCCCTACTTCCAGCAGGGAAGCTGTGCAGGGAATTTGAACCATTTAGAACATGGCAACCAAGCAGACAGAACCGGTCACCACCATTAGCCTTCGGAAGTTGAGCTTGGGGACCCCAGAGCCACAGAAGAAACGTAAGATGATCATAGAAGTCTCTAGTCTTCAAGTTGCTGCTTAATCTTTCCCAGTGTATTCACTAGATTTTATAGTAATGAATTGGTTTTCCAACATCCTCCAGGGTGAGCGGTAATCCACACACTTTCCCTCCCCACAGAAACTGTTCCTTTCACTTTGCCTTTTCTTGTTAGAGTCAAAGACATTCACCGTGGAAGAGGCTGTGGAGACCATTGGATTTGGACGTTTCCACATTGCCCTGTTTCTGATCATGGGCAGCACTGGGGTAAGTGCCCCTTGGAGATCGTTTGCATCTCTCATTGTTGGACACATAGAGTCTTCCAATGACCTACAGCTTGGGGTTGTCCATTCAGGGAGGGGTGTGAAAGGGAGCAGGAACCCTGTGAGGTGGACACTCCAAAAATAATTTTCATCTACCTTTGGTAGGCATTCGGTTATGAGCAAATGAATATCTGTGTCTCTGTGTTCTGGGAGTTCAATAGTCATTTTAAAAATTGAAGTGCTGGGAAGAGAGGAGAAAACTGTGGTATTATTCAAAGAAAAATTAGACACATGGTTCTCAAACATTTTGTGCATAAGAATCACCGGGGACACCTGTTGTAATTACAGCTTTCCAGATCCTTTCAGTGGCACTGATGAAGGTTTGTTATTTACCATCTGCTATTTTGAGAAAAGAAGAGTGACAGCTCAGCCCAGGGCTTTCATAAACAGTGGGACGTACTACGAAACCACTATTTCCCCCATTTGTAGTTGGAGTGAGAATATGTTAAGAACCCCATATTGAGATTTATAATGATAGTGATCACAAGACAGAATGAAAAATATAAGAGAAGTGATCAACACAACAATGGTTTCAGGTGGGAGATAAAGATAACTAAGAGGGAGACCAAGAGCAAACACTAGAGAGCCCCGACTCTCACTGCTCAGCTAAATAGTATAAGAAAAAGGATGACGTGAGCTGGAGACAGCATGCGACAAGTTCTGGTGCATCTCTCAAAAGCCTTGGCTTCTCAGGAGACAGTCTAGTGTAGAAAGAGAGAAAGGCAAGACATGTCCTAGTTCTACTTTTATAATAACCAATAGCACAGTGTAGCACATTTCTTCATCTGTAAAGTCTCACCAAGGCTCCAAATTTTTAAGAGTCTATATTTCGAGAAACAAGTAGATATGAATCGGTAGGGTTTTATCATCAACTCTCCTTTACTTTCAACCAGAACGTCTCCACTTCTGTTTTGCATATTTGTTTTCTAGTATGGTTTCATTTCATGGTCCCCTTGGCTTAAACAGTGTTGGAAACTCTCTGCATCTTTTATCTTCAAATATGTTGGGAACCCTGTCTTTTCTTCCGTAACAGCCCTCTAGCAAGTGAAAAGAAAATGTAGAAATTTTTTACCTCCCCAAATCAACCAAACCACCCATATAAGGGAAGTGCCTCTCTATTAGTGGTTATCTGTATTAGAAAGAGGGTGCCATTGTACTCCCCTTCCAAACAACAATTATGATGTCTGTATAGGTAACCCCTAGATGTCCGTCTCCAGATTTACGCCCACGGAGATTGTATGTCTATTGCATATTCACATTTGATGTTGTTGTGAAATGGCTCCTGGTCTTCTTTCAGTGTTTTGTAGGCTGCTTCAGTTCTTCCCAGCCCACAAGCTAGGAAGAGCTTTTTACCAGGCCGCCCCCTCCCTAGCTCATACACACAAAGGAAAAGAGAACTGTTTGTTTGAGTGTGGTAACCAAACCCCGCCCCTCCCCTGCCAGTCTTAGGATGGGCTGTTTTGTGGACCAAGACTTTCTCATGAGGATAGATACACTGACAGTGGCAGGTGTGGGAGATCAAGATTTGGCCACCCTGAAATCTATCTCTTTACCTTGGTTGTTTTCTCTAGGGACATTTGACCTCCTCCACTAACTGCCTAAAGAATTTGACATGGTAGCTCCT